TGTGTGTTGCGAATTTTCTCCTATATTTTTACGAATGTAAATTAATTTTTTTGCAAAAATTACTAAACACTGAATTAAAATGATATAAACTAGTTATAAAAAAGCTTTAGGAAAAACAATTTTTTACACAAACATTTAAATATGTAAATTAAAATAAGATTTTTTAAATAAAGATTTATTTAAATCAAAATTATTTAATTAATTTAATTTAATTTAACGGGAAAGTTTGATTGGTATTAATTAACGTACTTACCAAGTATAATGTAATACCTTATGCCTTTCTTGAATTAAAACAAGCTACGTAAGTTATTTTATACATACATACTTATGAATAAATTGATTTTATAGCTTCCTCATTTACACCAATGCAACAACTGAATAAATAGAGTAACTTACGTTATGTCAGTTTTATTCTAAAAATATAGATCAAAATAATTTTATTTATGCAATATTATGTCAATGCAAAATAAGAGCTACATCTACTAGAATGTATGTCATTTCAGTAGTAATAAGTGGTGTTATAATGAGTGTTTAAAAATTTTACGGTATTTTATAACTTTCTTGCTAATAAATTAAAAAAAAAATCTTATCACTAAAAAATTATAAAATAAGATCATGACTCTGTGATGGTATGTAATTTTATTGCATCTTTAACTTTGACCAGCTTTAATAATTTTATCACCTGATTAAGTTAAGCACATTGGGGAATTTGCCTCTCTGAAGCCTTTCTACACTACCTCTGCTTCCTTTTGACTTTGACACAAAAGAAGCACGGAAGATCACTTCCAGATATAATCAGCGATTATGCTTATATTAATTAGTTTCTATTGTGGGTCTGGCAGCAATAATGTCTTTCTTTGTATCCATTGTTTTGAGCTGAAATCTGCTATTTGGCTCAAATGCAGACTTCCTTTTAATTAACTGCTTAAGTGCCTAATCTTACTGACCTTTTTTTTTAAATAAACATTCCTTGACATTCGTCTTCAATTTTCTCGAATTGATCTTTTTAATAGATGTTCGCCAAACTTTGCTACCAAACTTTCAAGTTTTAATCTGATAAAAGCAATCAAACTGTTTCTAAAGTTTAATTAATCGTTTAAGTCTTCAAATAGGAGTAAATTCGTCAGTTTGTTTAAGTGATAATTATCAATAAAAATATTCGACGATGTAATTGTTTCAATTCTTGCTTTAGTTTTCATCGTCAACTTTTAATTAGAACGACTGTTTTTTATCAACACAATCGGATTGTCGAGCTTCAAGTTTTACTGACTTTGGCAAAATCAACATTTGATTTAACGAGTGTCAGACCTTTCCAGTAAAATCATCACTAATTAATAAAGGTATTAGTGCAGTTTGGAAACATCAAATATTCAGGGAGAGTAGAAGCAAAGGGTGAAATTTTTAGTCACACTTTTTAACCTTCTCTAAGTAGAGCAATAAATAATAGGATTACGTTGTAATCCTTCATCTATATTTTATGCCTTAATAATTCACGCTTTAGTTTTTAAAACACCAAGGGCTACATTCAATAAAAGCGCCAATGAACACACATTATACTATTATACAAACACAAAACTCATAAGCAGTAAAACTACTTTAATGTGCTCAGTTTTTTGTGCTATTTTTCTTTTCTGGTGTTTAACGGCTTACTCAAGGTCAACACTATTTTTGTGTATTTTAAATTTTCAGTTATCTTTTCTGATTCAAGATATATTTTCAGTTATTTAATATTTCATTAAATTTGGAGAGGATGTTTTTGATTATCACTTAGTGTGTGTAAAACAATTACTTCAAGCGACTCTTATAAGATTACTTCTATCCATTTGGTGAATTAACTTTGTTGGAAGTTCCATTAATTGTTATCACAAGAGGAGAGTAAATCAAAGGTCCGTTGCCTATGTGTTGAAACGCCCTACTGACGATTCGATTAGTAATAACATTGTTAATTTCCGTGGCTGTTTCTGACATATAACTAGTTATTTACCATCAATTGCCGTAGTTACAGGTAGGTAGGTATATTAGTCGACTGACAGGCCTAGTAATAATTTGCACCGTGGTTTGCTCTAGAATGGTAATGGCGAAATTAACAAACGTTTTAGATATTCAATTATTGGAAGTCCTTGGTGCTTGAAACCTGTCTTATCGAAGCTCTGATGAATTATTACATTAATCTGGGACGATGTTTAAAGGGCCATTTAGTTTTACGCTCCTGTGGTAGAAAGTCGGAAAGAGGATTATTATGCAAGCAGTAGGGAGTTTTGAATGTTGTATCTTAGTTAAAAATTAAAGTAGTAAATATTAGCAATCCCTGAAAGCTAGAACAAAAACCATATTGCATAAAAGTTTTATTATTTACTACATATTTCGTTCAAGACATTTCCTTTGGATGTGGTTAGTTGTTTCCGATAAATGTTATTACTGTGTAATATTGTACTAAAATGTAAGCTAAAGTTAAATCGCAGTATATACAGGATGTCCTATAATTGTTTTAAAAATTCATCCCATTCTGAAGCCCTGGGCATAATGAAAACCAAAATAAATGTCAAATCAAAAATTTGTTTCAAATAAAAGAAAAAGTAAAGCAAATAAAAAAAACTGTTTCGAAATTTTCATATTGGTTTCGAACCATGCAATAGTATATTCGTATAGTATAGTATATATTCGTCATCAGTTTACCTCCCTTTACCACCGATAAGAGGACAAAAATAACCCAGTACCAACCTTGTTTATGTTCAAAATAAGGGTTTATTATTATCGTATAATCAAACAAATAAATGTATCATCGGAGTCCACTCTGAAAAACAACAATATAGTCAACAACATAATTATGCATCATTCTTTATTGTTCTTATTGTAGGTACATTTTCTTAAAATACAACATATTGTTTCTTTTTATAATTTTGTAAAATCTTTTATTTAACATAACATTCAAAACTATTGCAAATTGAAAAATTATTGAAGTCCGGACCATTCTGATCTGGTGTCCCAGATGGTGTTTACTGTTGGATTATTTACAACAACCCAAATGTCTCTATTGTTAAGAGTAATTCGGGTACCCGACTTAAGATTTACGACAGTTCAAATATCGTGACGAGAAGTATAACAACAATAATTTCTGGATACATAATTCTAAAGGAAATTTGTACTTTTGAATATTTAGACGAACATATGTATTTATATTGCCCATCATTTTCAGATAATAAATTTTATGTTACGTCTACTACAATACAAAAGTATTTCAGTCAAATTTAATATCGATTTCCAGTGGAAATATTGGAGCATTTATCTAAATATTCAAACAAATCGCAATACACATTTTAAAACCCAAATCTTCTAATAATTATTTATTTAGCCTAGTTCTTATTTTGAGCAATTTTGGAGATAAGACAAAGTAAAAATCCCAACAGTGTAATGACATGACCTGTTTTACTGTTTATACTTACATCAAAAAAAGACACCAAAACACCAAAATTATTTTGAGATTGATAAAGAGAGTTACGCGACAAACAACCCCAATTATTGGTGTGTAATTACTTTCTCTTTAAGTTTCTTTAAAACTGTTAAAGTTGTCTTTTATTTGTGGAATAATTGTTTACTTATAAAACAAAACTTTACTAATTACCAAGTCGATCGATAAATAGAAACTTCTGCACAGCAGAGAATGAATTCGCAAAGAAAGACTTGACTTTTTACCACTGGTGAACTTAATTTCTCAAATGCACTGATAAACCGAGCAATTACTTATCTCGATGATTTTTTTGGCTGGAGTGATAAAATCCACAACATTTCTTCACATTATTTAGAGAAAAAAATCAGTTTGATGGAAGTGTTTGCATCCACAGGCAACAAGTTTCCGTCAGATAACGAACGGTAGATTCGATTTCGGTGCAGTGCTTGGCGGTTTGGCTTTTAACTTGTTCAGAGCATTTATTTGGAATTGCCCCTAGCTGTATCTGACGGATCAAAATATATAAAATGTCAAATGTAAAATTGTATTTCTATATTTTATAGCTTTTTAAAATTGAAAGCAAGTGCAAAAAGATGTCTGCCTCGCCAATCTCGAACGAAATTTTCAGCAGAAAAAGAGATTTGTAGACTGGTTTAGTCGTATCATGCTTGGAATCAAACTTGCTGCAGTTGCAGCGAGAAAATTGAAAAAATGGACAATGCAGTAAACAACATTCGGAAACTTATTGTGTCTGTAAAATTAGTTTCGTTGGGAACTATTGACAAAATCGTAAGTTTGGTAGAAGCTGCATTTGAACAGAAAAAGTTACACACCTTACAATCGATTGTACGAAAGAGCCAAATACATAAATCACAGAAATAAAGAAGCTGTCAAAGATAAAAAAGACTTCATCTATTCCACCCACACGCCCATTTCCTTTTCTGTACAACAGATAACGAAATATTAATTTACTATTTTTCCTAAACTTTCAATTGTGTTTCAAAACATCTACGATGATTTATGCATTTGAGATTTGGTTAAAATTCCTATTTTAGTTTCAAGGTTCTCTCCAACTGAAAAAATCCACAATCAAAATAAAAGTTTAAACAGGCTGATTCCGATTCGGAAAAATTCATTACCTTATTTAGAACAAGGAATCTGTTTTATGTTCTTGCCACCTGTTACTCTCCATATACGATAAACGACACATTGATTACAAATACATAATTTAATTCAATTATAAAGTTAAAATGTAAATTATTCGTTTTATTTCACACAATAAAAGCCTTAAATGACCCTAAGATTTTTTTTGTGAAAATAATTAACATTTGCAATTCTAGTATTTGCTGGATGAAAAACTAAAAAAGTTTACCACAAAAATAGTTGTCGGTATCTTTTTAAATAAACGCACATCATAATGAGCAGCCTGTAGAATTAAGTAACATTAATTAAATAAATATAACCACATTTAAATGTGATAAGTGATAAACAGCGAACTTTGCACTTAAAAAGCCATAAAGTTAATAAATTTGGCTTCAGTCTGCGACTAACAATGTTGATTAAAGCTGCGTATTTAATTCTCATCGCGATCGGTTCATTCAACCGAATTTACGGTCATTGTGAAGAATCGTATATGACGTTTTGTGACTGTGTGTCTGATATTCGGAATTACAAAAGTGGAAATTGGACTGACGTAGTAATCAAGTCTGATAAAATTTCGTGCTCCTCCACCATCAAAAGCAACAATTTCGAAAAATTAGAAGAAATTAAGATACTGTTTATTGTCAATCAAATTGAATCAATTGAAAGATTTACCTTTAAACAAATAGGTGGAACACTAAAAGTTTTGAAATTTTATGGAAATAATTTGATTCAAGTAAAAAGTAACATGTTTTCTGGTTTTAGAAAACTGAGCCAGTTAGGTTTGGTCAATAATAATATTGAGTTAATTGAAGAGAAATCATTTAGTGGATCTGTTATCAAAAATTTGGATCTATCACGTAACAAAATCGAAATGATCGCAGCGAATACATTCGACGGAAGTGAAATTACTAAAATCGTCTTAAGATATAACAGAATATCCCATATTAATGAAGATGCCTTTAACAATCATTTGGAAATCCTGCAACTAGACTACAACAATTTAGAACATTTGCAAGGCGGTTTTGCTTCAAAATCCCCGAAGCTAAGTGAACTAACAATCAGTCACAACAAGCTATCACACGTTTCCGATGTTCCCTCTTTAGTCAAAGCAAACAAGCTTGACTTTTCCTTCAATAACATTAATCACATCAATCTTCCAGAATTTGAAGATTTTAAAGATCTGATTTATCTTGATTTAAGTAGCAACAAACTCGAAACCTTTTCATTGAAATACTTTAAGAAGGTGAAAACGGAAAGAATGACTCTACTGTTAAGTTACAATCTTTTAACAAACATAAAAATCAAAAGTAACGCAAAACCTATGACACTGACACTGTTTGGCAATCCATGGAATTGTAAATGTTTGAAAGAAATGCAGAAAAGTATGCTCGAGAATAATTTTACTACGACAAAATGTGACTTGGAATTGTTTAAATGCGGTTTTCTTCCCGTGTGTATTGACCAAGGTGAATGCAAGAACTCACAACCGGTGGAAAATCGTGATGATCTGAAAAGGTTCATGCAGCAGAATAGGGAAAAAGAAAATTTTACCTGTGATGTGTTTCGTGAGACTAGTTCAAGATTTATAGTAGGTATTCATTCTCGTTAATTGAATTTTGTAAATATTTAATACTTTTCATGTTAAAATAAAGCCTTGAAAAACTTAGTTTTTTGAGTGTGGGAAAATAAAGGCTTTCTATCCTATCAATTTGGATGCTTACAACCTTTATTGTAATTTTACCTAAAAGCTTGACATTTATTCTCTATTTATCTCTAAACTTGATAAAATGTTTAAAAAACTAGAAACCTATCTTTATGGCAAGTTTTATAGAAGAAACGTACATTTTATTAAGTGGAGTTTATGATTGTATGTTAAATGAGGAAAATTCCTGCTTGCAAAGGTCACGCCACGATGGAAGCTTATCACTTTGCAGAAATGGCCATTTTCCCTCCATGCATCAGAATATTATAAATAATAAAATACCTCGTAAGAGCCTTAACACATTATTTTGCATAATATATGGTCACATTTAAGGCAATAACTCGCTGATCTGGCGCCAAACCTTATTACAGTTATGAAAAAAATTCTATCCTACACTCCAACTCATGTTCTTGACCATGAACCTGAGTAGGTGAACCGAATCAAAATTTATGTTGGCCATTATTGCCCCTCAAGGAATAAGTCTGGTTAGTTTCATGTCGCACGTAGGGGGTTACCGTTTCATTTCCAACACCCACTCAAATCAATACATTTGTAGAAAAAATCAACAGTCACTAATTATACCGTTTGATTAAACGCAAACTGGGTTAATAAATAATCCCACGAGATTAATTGATTTAAACGAGACACCCACTCAAGTTTTTTAAAAGTAAAAAGAATGAAGTTATTTGTTTTACACCTTCCGTCACACACCATTCTCTTGGTCCGCTCCTTTAATTTTCACGGCGGCAACGTCGTGTTATTTTGCCATCAACTTACTTTCTGCCCTTGTTTTATGTTGCAATAAATCACGAAATACATTTTTACGGGCAGATGCTAAATGCACACGTAATGTTCATCGCTCAACTCACGTCCAACCTCTTAATTTATTTAGGACCATGAGGTAGTCCGATTGTAAGCAACCTCTATTTTCATTAAGGGTCACAGATGCTTACAATGGACTGACGGAGGATCCTTTACAAGATGGGCGTCGGGGGTGGAATACGTGCCCTGAACGAAGGACCAACGCAGCGCCGCTGAAGGGCTTACCAAGCAGACATTCAAGCACGTGTTGGCCATTTGACGACACGATTTTTTCCAAGTAAGAGGCTAGTTAATGATCTCGACGACGAGCTTGCGATACCCGCCGGCATGGATATATCTGGGTTAGGAGCTTTGCGGAACGGTCGCTTATGTGTTATAAAGGCATAATGAATGGAACATACTAATAATAAAGGGTTTTTCAAGTTTTTATTTTGTTATTATTCCATAACCAGTTTGACAAATGAAAAAAAGAAACTCGACACTAAACAGCTCAACTGAGAAATCATTATTATGAACTCGTTTTGCGTCAACCTTCGCAACTTTTCTCCAACCTCAAATTAAAATTAGATGTTTTTAAGCCAAAAACTTTTATTAACCGTGACAGCTTCTTTACAACAGACTGGCGCAAATAAACTTTTTTAGAATAAAAGATAATAAATTAGGAGAAATTTCTCCGTTTTCAGCGTAAATTTGTCATTTATCATTGTTACCTTCTTTATATTTGCTTTATGTGATTAATGCTTTACAAAATGAACGAACCTTATTTAGACAGGTTTGCATTTTCTGGATATCTGGCACGTAGCTTTAAAATCGCCCTTCTCTGCCCCTTATTCATCTACCAGCAGATAATTGGAATTGTTCGTTGCCGCAAAACGTTTCATTGCTAATTGTGTATCTTTTGTGAGGGTTAATATTTGATTAATGGACAATGAGCTGTTTGCGTAGATTAATGGGCGCTTCGCTTTATTTAAAAAAAACGCAGAGATATCTTTCAGGAAACTCGTAGTCCAGTTTCAGCAACATTATGAGGATAATTCGCATGAACTATTTATTAATTGAATACAATGTGTGGTCATGAGGGAATTAGCGAAGAGAACAACAAGGTCGGTTCAATAGATGATTGGTTGGCGAAAATAAAATAGGTTAATTATCCCTCAGCTAGTGCATGCTGTGATTTTGGACCGTGTAATAGAGATTAATGATTTATCCACCGTTTGTGGCATCAAGTCGACTAATTAATAAATAACGAGGAACAATGCATAATGATGAATGCAATATGTTAATACGATGTTAAATTGGCAATACGAAATTTCCATTGACACTTTTTATTTAGTTGTTTCTTTTGCAAAAACGCATAATAGTGAGAATATCTATACCAACTATACCACACATTTTTTTCGATTGCCTTTTATTTTTGTTTAAAATCTGTAATCTTAACTGACAAAAATTTTCTTTTTGTTTAATAACACTGATATGGAGCCTTCAATTTAATTTCAAAAGGAAAAGTCCTGTGAAATTAAGTTGACAAATCACGTCAACTAACATTTTCCGAACTTTTTTGAAGACGTAACAGTCACGCTAAGTCATATTGTGTGCATCATTTTGCAATGTTTTATATTTTAAAAATTAATTCGACGGTCAAACCGACCATAAATCAACAAAAGGTCATAACTTTTTTCTAAAAACTGCGATTTCAAAACCACGTTCACTTTCAAACGATTTCATTCAACCTGCGTCTGCTCGCTGTTTTTGTTTAAGAAACTTGTTATTGTAAAATATGAGTCTGATCTTTTTGTCTATGGTTTTAATATTTGCCGTTCCTGCGTGCAGAAAGAAAGTTTTTATGGGCCAGTTGCTTTAGAGAATTTATTAAAAATCTCCCCCTGAAATATGAAATAGCTTGTCAGACGCCGAACAAATTCATAAACGATGCTGTGCGTGAGTGTATATAAAAAAGCTACATAATATCTGTATCGGGCTTTCCTTTGAACAACATCTGATGCAAATCATCAATCACAAAATCTAGTGACGGTTATGTGTAATCATTTTCACATTGTATTTACATTTCACGCCGAGAAACTCCATCTTACATTGAAAACTTTTCACGACACGAACATTAGTTTTATCTTTGTCTAAAATGCGAGAATCAGAATAAAGAAAACTTAAGAAAAACTAGAGCAAACTCAAATTTATACTAACTGAAAAAAACAAATTTCTGGTGTCAGAAACTAGGGAGATTTATTTATATTTGCTTGTAGCTTTCATACGGCTGCCTGAAAGTCGTGTAATTTTAATTTATTAATGAACAATCCAGACTAACAAATTAATTTTCTGAAATTTGTTGTTTAATTTTAAGTTTTAATAAAGCTAGTATGGCAACATGGACACATCAACAGATTATGCTCGCCAACTATATTGTGTCCAGCTATGGAAGTTTCAACTCGTTCCGAGCGTAATTGCCTAATTAATTTATGCACCCCCAAGTAATTTATATCTGCCTTATTTTGACTGTGGTGGCGTCGTGATTGCCCTTGTAAGGGTAATAAATACTGAAAGTTGTAAACAAAGTGAAAATCATTTTAAAATTTTCTTTCAATAAACAAGATTCTATCGCTTAATATCTCTGTCACTAATGAATCACATTACAAATTTCCAAATCACGTGAAAAAATGTAATTTCGACAGCTATGAGTTAATTTTCATAAACAGAAAGTGAAACAGTGTGAAATATACCTTGTTACGTTTTTTTGTTAAGTGTTATTTAAACATAAAGCCTGTTTCAAAACTTGCGCCCCAAAGAAAAATGGCAAGTAAGATAAAAAGATTTTTTTTCCGACAGAAACAAATAGGGTCAAATTTGCAACATTTTCAGTACACAAAAATTCAAACTTTATGTAAATATTCATAAAAAAGTGTAGTATATTAATTGAATAAGTCTAAGCTGGGGCGGGTGTTAAATGTTATAAGAAAAAAAGAGAAATTTTTAGAAGAGAGAAAAAAATACAAAACTTATTTATAAATAATGAAATTTGTTCCTACATCCATTATTATTGTGGCATAATTCAGTAATCCTTTTTGAGATATTATATGTACCAGTAAAAATGTTTCGGAGGCTACAGATATCCCGCCATTTCATTTTGTGCCAACTTCCCTTACTATTTGTAAACACGTCTTTCTTTGGACGTAATCTCCTTAAAGTAAATATTTTGAGTTGCCACGTACGTTTCCGCCATCCGGCTCAATTCCTGCTAGTCGGAGGCTTTCGCGAGAGTTGACAGTTCTAGCAGGATTTGATGTGTTCATTAATCTCTACATCACAGATTTGAGTCCTGTGAACTAATTTTTCTGATCAGGTGTCACCTGAAGGCAAATTACAACGTCCACATTTATGATGTATTACTTTAAAAAACAATGCATCAACTCGCTAGAAAAGAGTATTCTAACAAGAGAAAATTTCAATTTAAAAACGCCGATGGCCATAACTCAAATTTGACAGGTGTATTTTCATAATCTTTTCAAAAAAGTTGGTTGACGTAGTTCCTGACAGGTCGTTCTATTACAAATTATGAATATTGGCGACATTGTTGCCAACCATTTCCGGTATCCGGAATGAGAAGGGAACCCAAACACGAATGATGATGCTGGCCCAAAGTCCGGTATGTGGGTCAGTGTGCAATAATGGTTGCGTAATCTCTTCTATTTATCTATCGATCATTCTGCAGTATTTAATTAAATACCAAAATCAACATTCTAGGGATGTTGGTGTCGCTAAAGACAGCTTTGTGCGGGATCTATACCAAGACAATAAAGGAAGTTGATGTGGGACTTCTTTTGTTCATGTTTACTAGGTACATTTTACACTCCTTTATCTAACATATAATTTCATAAAATTTGGTTTATTTTTAATTAATTTAAGTAAATACAACTTTAATTACTTTGTGTTAATAATAAAGTGACTAATACAAGTATTAACTATAAATACCCCGACTTCCTGCCTTCTCGTTTGTTCAACTTGCATCCTACTCATTAATCTTATAAGAAAACGTGTAAACAGTAAAACAAAACTTAATAATGGTGCAGTAATTATATACCTTAACGTTGTTTTAAAATTACCTTCTTTAAAACTAAATTTACGATCTTAAAACGATAATAAATTTTGCTAAAAGAAAACAACTTTAGATCTTGATTAAGACACAAGTAAGTGAATTTTGATTAAACACAAAATTTGTTGTCAACATTTGAGCTTAAAATTGTTATGTAGCCAATGCTACAATTATTTACATTAGTTGTCTTGTGTCTAAGTTACATCAAGTAAATATTAAAGACCAAAATTTTGTGACAGTGAGTCTAAAACTTTATCCTTAATTCTCATACAAACACAAGTACATCTTCACAACATAGAGACTATGTTGACCTTTTTGTGTAAATTTCTCTTACTTACGCCCTCGAAACTATGTCTTTACCTTTTCCTTTATAGGAATTGATCTTAGGGTGTTTAAGCTTTCAAAACACTTTAAATTATTATAATACGAGAGAATTCAGCTTGACAGGCTTTAATTTTCAAGCACCCTATTAACAAAACACACACTGCTTTTCCACGTCCTTAATATAAGCTACTAGGTGTGCCATCTACTACATTCTTGACTCTTCTTGACAATATAAAAATTAAATATTATTTTACACAAACTGAAAAACCAAATTATTTAATTCGTGAGAGCGGTTATTAAGATATATTAAAATTTTATTCTCATGCAAAATGTACAATTTTCCCATTTATGGGGTAAGACAGAGTGATTCACAAATAATTTTACCACTTTACAGAATTTGAAAAGCAACCAGTCATCCATAATAAGACATTTAACAAATGTTCGAACCTGATTTTTTTGTTAAAATTTCATACGATACGAAACGGGTATGAAATCAAATAATCAAAATGGATAAGTGGATGCACTTAAAAGTTCGCTAAAGTAACGTGAATTTTTCAATTAGAAACTTGACAAAACTTGACTCATTGAGTACCTAGGTATAACTCACATTAGACACAGATTAACTTTGTAATAAATCACTATTACAGCAACACCATGATTTCGTGACCAAAGCATCTGGAAATTTATGTTTCCCATGTTATATCCAAATGCACCTTTGTGGTAAAAGACATGCGTTCTCGATCTTCGTGAAATGCAATTCTTATTACCATTATTTTGACTCTCTTTAGACAACTTAATTGTGGCTATTTAAAAACAATATATTTTTGTTCAACCATGATTTGATTTAAAAAATTGGTAAAATCCGAATTACTTCGATACAAGGTTTACCATCGATTTTATATTGAAAAAAAAGGTTTTATTCCCTTCGTGCACCACATAGTCAAAGTAACCAAAACAGGGAAAAC